ACCCTGGACACCCTTATGTCCTAGTCACATGACCAGTTTAGTGGGAAATATTTGCTCTTCATTAAACTCTGTTCCAAATTGTGTCAAAATTACAGACTTCAGGCTAAACATCAATGCCTGGGATCCCTAACCAGCCATAATCTTGAAATTTAGCAGATTTAAAATCCTGTCGTTTTTAGCTAATAAAAGATTTGTTATGACAACACATCGTAAAYGACGGTGCACCAAAGAAGTTAATGATTCACTTTTTTTTGTTTGCAGGTTAAACATGTCCGATTTTTGAGCAATCTGTCAACAGAAATGGAAAATAAAAGTCAAGTTTCGCTGAAGTCAGGCTCTTAACTTGACCTCTGGTTTATTCGTTTTCACTCGTCTAAGCTTTGGCATGTAAAACATGAACGGCCCTGCTCTGTAGCTTAAAGCGTGATATCTGAGAGCTGGGGGGGGGGGTGTCATAACAGTGAAACTGTGCTCATTAGCTGCTCAGCCAACCTTAGCTCCTGTATGAAAGTTGTCTCCACAACAACGCAGCAGTTTCTAGAAATCCCTCTCRGTGACGGCGCTCGCTCGGGCAGGTCCGCGAGTCCACGGGCTTCTGACAGAAGCTAACAAGTGAGTCACACATTCACCTCAGGAACGCACTTCTATTACCGCCGATGTGTGAACCCTCAAAAAACTCAAATATGCTAATGGAGCACTTGTGAGTTGCGTGTGGATACAGAAAGTGACACGTAGCTTCCAGCGGCCCCGTTTGTCAAAGAAATAACAGCCCAGTGGTCGTGCACACAGCATAATAGCAGAGAACATAACAAGCGCCCACTCCTTGCTCACTTACCCATACTGCCTCTGGATGAGTGCTGGGTGAATGGGCTGCACTCCGATGGATATGCCTGGGTAAGAAAAAAAAAGGAGGAGAGAAAGAGAGCTGGCTGTTAGACACACACACACACACACACACACATCTGCATTTACAGAGGAGGAGCAGAAAACAATGCACAGAGGGCACAGAGAGACAGAGGCAGAGGCTGTTTCCAACCTACCATGGAAAAAAAAAAACTATTCCAAACGTGCAGCAGTAAATATATGTATGCAGCTGAATGCAGTTTCAAATGTAAATGTGACTTCTGCATGAATTAAAGATGCACGTGAAAAACTAATGCAAAACTCCAGCACAACCAGAGGAGTTCTGCTCCGAACTTCTGATGCATTATGAAAATCAAAGCGGCTCATTTATGGCTGTGGTCGTTTCGTGGTTGCACGTCGTCCTCCCTCCAGCTCACCTGTCTGCATGCTGCGAGGCTTGGCCCCCAGGTAAGCCAGGTTGACGTTGGCCTTTCTGCCGTCGATGATGGGGTTGGGRTCCTTGCAGGCCCTCTCTGCAGCTCCTCGGTCCGTCATCGTCACCTGACGACAGAAACGTTTAAAACTTCTTTTAGATGACAACATATTGGGTGAGTTGTAGAGACAGATCAGTGCAAAGACACATGTCTGTTCATTTTATCGTGAAGCCCGCCTCCTACAGACCTTTCCTATTATCAGATTTCATTTTCCAAAAAACAAAAAAAAACAAAAAGGAAAAATAAATAAAATGTAAAACCTGCCCAGAGCAGCAGTAGCCAGTCAGACTGTCACTAAGCTGTGGGCAGAGCTGCTGAAATATGGATCTGGGCAACAAGGAGCTTATCCAATTAGGAACAAAATAAGGAGATTGGTATTAGTCCACCCCCACCCGTCTCCCTCCTGGCATTAGACGAGCCCTTCTGTTATGATTGCCAGGTCCTGCCAGCTCAGAGTCACCTCTGAAGATGGACCAAGTGGTGGATGTAGGCTGTGGCCTGCTCACATTCAGAGGACAGCTCGTTAAAAAAAAGAAAGTCTTCATCGTGGAGTGATGGGGGGACAAAGCCCAGTGCAGAGCCTGTGTTGTTACACAGTAAAGATCCAGGCTGTTTACACTGAAGAGCCTTGTGTGTGTGTGTGTGTATGAGTGAGGGGGGTTCCACTAATCCACCTCTGAAGTGTGTYAGAAAGAAAAAAAAGGTGTGCTCAGCTTCAGGCTCCTCCTCACAAAGCCACCTCTCTAAATGCAGCACAAGGAAAACAGAATTAGCCTGACATTATAATAATAAAATAAAACTAGAGCATAAAACTGCTGATCACTTCACTTTTCCAGCCCTAAACCTGGGAAGAAGCACCCACAGCGCCCGGAGCCTGTCGAACCAGAAACACCAGCCTCCACAGGCAGCCGTTCAGTACCTGCTCAACTCACGGAGCAGCTTTCCTGACTCCATGAGCTGATGTGTAAACAAAGAGCAATTGTCCAACTATTTTTTCTCCCCCCCTTAGAGGTAAACACACACACACATAACTGCTTTCCATCCCTTCTGTGGCCTGATAGCACACTGGAGAGGTCCAAACGTCTCGTAAATATTTGCATTTTTTCTGCTGCTTCTGTTCTTTGTGTCTCCATGCAAGGTTAGAAAAAAAGCCCGACTTGTTTTGCACTTACAAATTCTTCATAATAAGATCAATTAAAACAAATGAGGTTCATTTTGAAAACAGGAGGCAGAAAATTTGTTGATGTGATGTTAAATCATGTCCTGTGGTCCCTGACAATGGAGGGCAAGGTCAACGTCCACAATGCTCTAAATAACCATATAAAGCAAGCAGGGTTGTCCCCCCCCCCCACACACACACACACTTTTATTGCCATCAAACTGAGGACTTTGTATTGACTTCCATTCATTTTTGTAACTGTTTTAATGCCTAACCCAAACATTTTCCCTAAAATTAACCATTACTGGTCTATAGCTAACCCTAACCTGAACCAAAACTTAACCCTCACCATCCCTCTAACCAGTAAAGCACAGCAGAGCTGCAAATAAAGTGAGGATTTTGAAGAGGTCCTCACTTTCCAAAAATGACGTCACTTTGTTGATTATAAACCTAACATGGTCCTCACTCTGTGGGCAACACACACACACACACACACACACACACACACACACACNATTATAAACCTAACATGGTCCTCACTCTGTGGGCCACACACACACACACACACACACACACACACACACACACACACACACACACACACACACACACACACACGAGGAGGGGAGGTCTCTTTCCTGTAGGAAGAGGGGGTCTTAGGTGGGGGTTGGACATCAGACATATGTTGAATTATAATCTTCTTAGTTACACATCAACTKGTGAGATCCTTCATCCTCATTAGGCGAAAATACCAGCCAGTCAAGCCAATAAAAAAAATGATGCATTGCCATTATGTCAGCTTAGAGGAGGAAGAAGAACAGGGGGAACTACCTTTGACCTGAATGACTGCACATGACATCATGTCTAACACAGTTTAAACTCATCTTTTCACTGCTTGTATTAAAGCTGAAGGATAACAAACACATGTGAGGTGTTAATGAGTGGAGCTAGTGGGTCCAGACGGCCCGGGTGCTACTTACAAAGCCGTATCCCCGGGATTTCCCGGTCTGTCTGTCTGTTATCACCACCGCCTCGTCGATGTCCCCGAAAGCTTCGAAGTATTTTCTCAGCGAGGCGTCGTTCGTGTGGTAAGGCAGCCCGCCGACAAAGATCTTGGTAAAAGTGGTGTCCTTCTGAAGCGGCGTGGGAGGCATGACGTCCAGGGATCCGTTCATGTACTGATGAAGAAGCATTGGTCAGCCGGCGACGACACCGAGCCACGCGAATGACTTAAAAAACTAAACTAACGCTTAGCAGTTGGCCAGCATTGGAAMAGCGGAGCGCTACTCTCTCCCGGGTTTGGTGTAGTTTGGTTCAAGTTTCAACCACCTGTTGACACCTGTAACAACCAGGCAGCGAGGACACCTACGGCTGCGCAGCCGAGCCTGTTGCGTTTTTCAGCTGCTACGCGACGGCGTGCCGGGAGTTTTTATAGGACACGACTTAAGCTCCGCCCCAACACAACTATTGACCAATCAGCGTACAGACGCGACTTCAACGCAGAACAGCGGGCGCTCCCATTGGTCCATCCTCTGCCAGCACTTTACTGCACCTGCTTTTGTCTTTTTCACACAAAGAAAACGGTACTGTACTGAGGAAAACACGCTGTGCCACATGGTGACTACTGGGAAGTTACTCTCTCGGCTTTTGACGCGAATCCCCTCATAAATGTTACACTCAGCATTCCAAACTGCCTTACTTTACAGCTGTGGCAGCCACAGTCTGAAAGAACAGAAAGCAAAACGGAAAGATTTGTGCATTATTACAGAAACAAAATTAAAATTAAAAGTATAATTTTTAATAAGCTTCTCTTTTGGTTTTTCCACATAAAAAATGACTTTATAAGTGTGTTTGAAATAGTGTACAGCCTAATAGCAATACAACTAAACACTTAATTTAACAAGTTTATCTACTGAACTCTAAGTTTGAAGTGTTTCAAAGTTTGTGTACTGGATCTAACAATTGTCATCTATTATCCTTATGAGCAAAAAGGAAGAAGTATTATAAATAATAGCTTCAGTCTTGTTGACATTCATTTGCAGTCCAATTTCAGTCCAGTTAAAGGACGCAAACCCAGTTTGACAGCAGGTCATTCTCAGAGTCAGYAATAGTTTCTGTATCATATGGTCTCCTGACAGCTGTTTTGTTGAGTGTGAAGCCAAGATGTTCATGTAGAATATGCCTCATTACATACAATAATAACAAGGTATGGTGCAGGTGTGTCTCCCTGTAACCCCCTGTAGGACCATCAGCAGAAAACACTTTGGCACATGTCGTTATACTCTATACTTCTGTCCTGGACAATTGTTTTCTGATTACTATTGGCTTGAAGTATTTACATTATTTTCTCTATCTTATCTGAACATAAAAAATGTATMTTTTGATTGATTTCTTTTAATCTATAACTGCTCAAGTCTTTTGGTTGATGAAGGTAAAGTGTAAATTAGAAGTCAAACCCAGAAGCTGAATTTGAAAGCAGCCCCATAACATGAATGTAATCCCCATTTAAAGCTTAGTTCAAATTCCCAGGATCAAGGCCTTGTTTACATGGAGCCGGTTTTCAGTGAAACCGTATTTTTGTTGCCTTCCAGCCACTCGTTCTCTGACGCCAGAACTTTTAGGCCCCGTTTACACRAGACACGTCTTTAAAAATGGCCGCTGTGGTTGCCATGCCATGCAGGGTCACCAGATGGGGCATGATCTGTTGTTCTGTCACTTTAAAATGATTGTATTTTGATCCAAACTGTCATATACGTGCCGAGTGAGGCAAGACGAGGTCTGTGGTGTGTTTGGTGAAAATGTGCACAGAAAATGAGGGGCAAAAAGCAAACTTCCTGTTTATCTGGCAACCCTAAACCAGGCTTAGCTGGTTTATGTCCAAACTAGCGAATAAACTGTTCCTTTGGACCTGAGACGTTATTGGTTTTGCTTCTACATTATGCAAAGTGCAAGTAGCGCACAAAATACTGTTTTTGTACGGTTATTGTTGCTGGTTCAGAGGAAACTTTGTGCACTTTCACACCGGTGTAGCACTTCACACTTACGTGGGGGGTGTTGCCAAAGTTTCAGAGCTCTGCTGTGAAGTACCCCGGGTCAGGCTGACAGAGAGGTGACACTCTAATGACCTCAATAAAGACACATTCTGCACACCTTTTACTCCACAAACTGCAACACTTTTTCACATGCAGCCTTTGAAGCTGCCCCAACAACCCCTTTAATACCCTCTTGATCCTCTACAAGCCCCCCTTGAAACGGGGGACTGCCTGAATAAGAAGTCCCACAGCTTTGATCCCGTTTGCCTTGTTGAGCCCAGTGGACTCAGTTCCTGAATGAAAACACTGACGAGTGAAATGCTCCCCCTGCTGGTTGACTTTGATCAAAGCAGGCAGATAAGAGGAGTGACCGGAGCAAAGATGAGGCTGAAAGTTAAAATGTATCATTTAAATACCAGAAACCTATGAGATAAGCAGTTAAACAACCGAACTGTAAGTTAGTGATGTGTGTAGGTGGTATTTATGAATGTAGAATACAGTTTATTACTAAATAAATAGAATAGATTTAAGTTTGCACTTCTTTTGAATCTCAATAACTTTAATGGAGCTATGACACCAGACACAACTAGTCATAAAAAAATGAAAAATAACTTTGTAAAACTGTGAAGAAGGTGGAGAAAACGAGCCGAACACAATAAGAATGCATACATCAAGATGAACGAATAAAACCATGCCCCTTTATGATGACTTGTAAGACCGATAATCATGCAGCTGTCATCGACACCAGGTTGGATGGGCCCCTTTGATTGGTCCATGCGCAGCAGCGCCACAGCATTGGTCCGGGAATTTGTTGAAAGCAAGGGGGGTTTATGTCGAGCGCTTACACACACAGTAAAGCAGCAGGTCTTCTGCATTTCCTCACAAGAGACGCGATTGGCACGTTGAATCTAGAGACAGGAGGGAGCAGTCAGTACAAAATTCACAAGACTTTTATTTTTGTTTACACCTTAAACGCAGCTCCAACCAAAGAAATCACAAAAGCTTCAAATTTCTGAATCAATACTTTTTGCTAATAAATGTTCTTTGAGTAAAACAAATATATTTTTTTCCAATAAATATCAAATACATTAAAAAACACTTTTAAAATGCTTGGCCAAGTTTTACAATCTTCTATATCAATGTTTTTATGATGACAGCAGGCTTCAACTTGCTATCCCTATGCTACTGGCTGTGGAAGCACAAAGACGTTTTGCATAAAGCAGCATAAAAAAATTAAAATAATAAGAAAACATTCAACAAAACTCTGAATTTTGTAAAGTGCTATGTGACAAAGAACAGGGCAACAGTGAGCCCCCCGGTCAGAGAGTCACAGGAGCAATCAGGAAATGCAGCATCTCCATCCGGTGACCACGGTGTCCATGATAACAAGACGGCAGTCGCCYTTCTCTCACCATTTCTTGTTCCGAGGCTTCAGCTCCTCTGCAGCGTTCCTCAGAAAGATGTAGTTCTTCTTCTGGGGGTTGTAGTACTCGTGGCCCTGAGGGATGACACAAGCGAAACGATTATGCAAACAGGGGAGGTAAACAACCTTTGTTGTGATTTCTAACGCCACCTACCTTTGACCAGTCGTAACTGGAGGCGTAGGCAAAGATGTTGCCGTTGTGGTTGAAGCAGCAAGCGGTGATGGGCTGGTCGAGCTGCTCCGACGTCTTCAACTTGGTGCGAGCGTCTTTGTCCCAGAAGCTGAAGCGTCCGTCTGAGCCCACAGTGGCCAGGGTGCCATGGACCGGATGGAAGGAGATGGCATTCACCTGAACGCAGCAAATGAAATTAGACTAATTAGTAAATCAGCATAAAATATATTGTAAGAGTTTGGAAACTGGAAAATTTCGTCAAACCATATCTGGCATGCTGACTGTATACACTGAATACTGCACTAAACCATTAAAGGACATGTCTTACTTTTAAATCCTTCTTTTTCTCATTTAAATCATTCAGCTGGAGTCTTTTTAAAGTGAATCTGCAATGTATTGGTTTGAATTCCTCCTTATTGTAACTCCACAAACCCCTCTTTCATGAGGTGTGTCTCAGATCAGCTCGTTTTAAAGCTGTCTCTTTGAATCCAAATGAGTACACAACAAAACGTATTCCACAGCAGGGCTGGGCATCGTGGCCAATTCTCTACATCGATTCAATTTCGATTCATAAGGTTCTGAATCGATTAAACACGCTTCAATTCAATTCAACTAGATTCAGTTTTCTCTTAAAAAATGAACAGTTCAACTGTGTTGCAAAACATACTCCCTTTATTTTTTTCTTCACCATAAACAACAGGTTTTAAGAGCAAACTTGTACTTTAAACAGTTTAATCTTGAAACAAAACTGTCTCATGTTTCAAAGGTTTTAAATTAAAAGGGTGACAGTGTTGTTAGAGGCATTCATTTTTAAGAAAATAATATATTTTTTGATAAATAAGAAGTGATGGAATAAGGTTGCAGGAAAAGCGGTGGGCTGAAGGCTCCTGCATACTCCCTCCAAACTGCTGAAACGGGTTCGGATTGTCGCAGTTTCAGGAAGAAAATTGCGTTGTTCTGTTCGCATTGTTGACATTTCGGCAGCTTCTCAACACAACCTGCTGGTCGAACGTTTTACCCCACCACATAAGAACTTGTGTGATTGATCAGAAGTTCGTCAGAGTGTTTGTGCTGAAAGCGCTCAGACGCTGCGTTTTGTTAACTGCTTGCTTCAAACACAAAAAGCAACTCGCTTCTAGGGCTGTGTATTGGCAAGAATTTGGCGATACGATACATATCATAACAGAGGGGTCACGATACGATATATCCCGATATATTGCGATACTGTAAGCAAGGCAATATATTGCGATTTTTTTTGTCCAAAAATTCTATTAAATAAAAACCTCTTACTGAAAAAAAAACAAACAGAAAAGCTAATGTTTACTTACAATGCTAATGCTCTCTTACTCTCTGGCGCTCAAGAGGTAGAGGAGCCAAATGTCTGACTCACTGCTGCCAACTAGTGGTCAGAGGCTGAACTACAACATAAAAATGAACGGCTGGCAGGAAAGTTGACATTTTAAACCTTAATTAAAAATCAATAAAGGGCTTTAGAATATCGATACAGTATCGGGAAATGAAATATCGCGATATTTCAGTGTATCGATATTTTCTTACACCCCTACTCGCTTCACGAGCCGACTGTTGTAGCAGGAAGCAGCGATTTGTAGAGATAGTCAAATGGCCAAAAGCACGTGGATGGAGATAAAACAAGCATTTTTCACGGTGGAATCTAACTGATAAAAACTTTGGAGCTTTAACCGTGACAGATTTGTGGGTAAATAATGTCGGGTGACGATTCTTTTTTTTTTCCGCACTGTGGACTTTCAACGAGAAGAACCCCCCTGTAGTGACATATGCTGCAGCAGGAGGGGTTTCCCCAGGAGCTCGATACGGGGGTCTCAGGGACTATGAAAGGTGTGTGCAAAAACAAACGCCGAAAAACCACGTGACTGCGCATCGACTGTTCGGCTTCGGATAGAGTATGCAGAGGCCTTAATATAAATATACTTCTGCCCACTCCTTTTGAGTGTAAGAAAACTGTATATTTGTAAWGTTTCTGTTAACCCTCTGCTATGTCCAATAAAAATTATTAGGACAAAAAAGAAAAAAAAAATTACACTACATTTCATCACTGCGAATTTCATCAAGATGTTTCTTAAAGTTTAAAAATAATAACATTTTTAATAAAACTAAAGGATTTAGTTAGAACATTGTCTTTCACACACGACCGGAGAACTGTTTCAATCAGATGTTTACCTACTGTTGTTTGGTTCGAGCACCTGAACGAGCCGCTCCAAGCTTATTTTTGTTTTAAACTACCGTGTACGAGCACAAATCTTTACAAACAAAAGTTGCCATGGTCTCTGTTATCTTTAAGTTCTGTGGAGAGTCGGCTGGTAATGTTAGTGATTCCTTAGTTTCTTTTGTTTTGATCCAGACAACTTGTTGTCAGAAGCTAATGTTAGCACTGGTCGTCAACTGGATGTAAACATACGGCAAGCCAGGAGTGACACAAAACACAGAAACGCACATCAGCTTCATCATGCACAAGACGCCATGGGGGGAAAAAAAATTTAAAAATCAATCTCATGCCCTATGAATTGATTTTCCCAAATTTAAACAAAATCAAACCAAGATCAAWTAAATAGTTTTTTTTACCCAGCCCTATTTTAACAGTGTGAGATTTCTCCCTTAAGTTTATTATTAAGACAGCAGATTTCAGCTGTTAAAACAAACCCCTCATCTAGTCACGTTTTTAAAAAGACACCTTTCCTTGAACTGATAATAAATTAGCTCTAGCAAAATGTGTCATTTTTGACAAAGACATTTTGCATTAAAACAACCAAAACTTCCGAAAAACAGGAATTTTTGTGAAAACTTGGGACTTACAGCATAAATATCCTGTGGAGTGGTTGTGTTGGTTCCGTTGGACCTGTGGCACTTGAAGGTGAAGTTATCTTTGGCTCTGGAGAGGTGCAGAGAAAACATTCATGTCAAAAAAACAAAGAAACAAAACAAAAAATAAAAAACATTTCATTTCCAAGCATTAAAAAATGAAGTGAGCAGTGTGCCGCTTCACTCACGGGTTTGGAGGGTTGATGTAATGAATCGCCACTCGGCCCTCAATGCTTCCAAGTGCAAAACCTGTGGGCTTGTTCTGCTTGTCCTTGAATATGGCGACACAACGGTGCTGCAAGATAAGAGAGGAATGAGCTTCAGTAAAATAAATAAATAAATAAATAAAGTCTGGTTGAAAAAAAACAAACAAAAATAAAACAGCTTAAAAGAAAAGCAAATATTTATAGAGGAACACACACCTGATGTTTGAGAGGAGAGTCTATTCGGCGAAACTCAGAGGGCTGGTTCTCTAGCTGATACACTATAAGGCCTCTCTCAGCTGTGGCTACCACCGCCATGGGGTACACCTGCAAATAAAACAATAAAAATCAGTCGTAATCTGTTATTTAATCATTAAACATTACAATGACCCTTGCAATTTTATAAGCTACTTACAACGTCTGCACAGTAGCATCTCTCAGGCATCTGCAGGGACATCATGGGGTTGGGAGAGCGGGTGTCCCAAAACTAAAAGCACAAAACCTGTTTCTAAATGCTACAGCCGCTGACGCCAAAACATCACGCTCATATCATACATCATACAAACCTTCAGTGTTTTATCCCAGCTGCCCGTCATGACACAGCTGTAGTTGGGGGCTTTTATCCAGTGGATCGATTTAATTGGACCATCATGCTATAAAGAAAAAGAACAAGAAACGTTATTTTTCTTCTTCATCGATGAGAACACTGTTAATTATATGAAGTCTTGTCCAACCTGYGCAATCTGCATCGCTTGGTTGCTGTTCAGATCCCACATCTTGGCTGTTTTGTCACAAGACGCAGTGAAGACTTTGCTCCCATCCTGGATGGGTTAAATAAATAAATAAATAAATAAATAAATAAAATAGGTTCTCCTGAAGTTGACAGCCGACCTTCTTTTATTTTGTTTAACACTTACATCACTCCAGCACACATCCAGCACTGGACCTGTGTGCATCTGTTGGGCTTTGGGGACAGTCTGTCCGTTGTCCTGCACCTCCCAACATCGAACCTGAAACCATGTGATGAAAGAGACGACAGCAGACTAAACTACTGCTCGCATAACGCAGCGCTACATGTACAGTTAGGTCCATGTATATTTGGACACAGACACAAATTTAGTCTTTTAAGCTGTTWACTGAAACATATTCAAGTTACAGTTATATAAYGTACAYGGACATAAARTCCAGACATTCAGCTTTCATTTGAGGGTATCCACATTAAAATAGGATGAAGTGTTTAGGAGTTTCAGCTCCTTAACATGTGCCACCCTGTTTTTAAAGAGACCTAAAGTAATTGGACAATTGAATATTTCATGAACAGGTGTGGGCAATCCCTTCGTTAATGCCATTCTCAATTAAGCAGATGAAAGGTCTGGAGTTGATTTGAGGTGTTCTGCTTGCATTTGGAAGGTTTTGCTGTAAAGTAAACATGCGGTCAAAGGAGCTCTCCATGCAGGTGAAACAAGCCATCCATAAGCTGCAAAAACAGAGAAAACACATCCGAGAAATTCCTACAACATTGGGCGAGGCAAAATCTACAGTTTGGTTCATCCTGAGAAAGAAATAAAAGCATGGGTGAACTCATCAATGCAAGAAGATCTGGGCGCTCACGGAAGACAACAGTGGTGGATGATTACAGAATAATCTCCATGGTGAAGAGAAAGCCCTTCACAACAGCCAATCAAGTGAACAACACTCTCCAGGAGGTAGGCGTTTTAATATCCAAATCCACCATGAAGAGAAGACTGCATGAAAGTAAATACAGAGGGTTCACTGCACGCTGCAAGACACTCATAAGACTCAAGAATAAAAAGGCTAGACTGGACTTTGATATAAAACATCTAAACAGCCAACAGAGTTCTGAAGGACATTCTTTGGACAGATGAAACCAAGATCAACCTCTGAAGTTGTGGTACAGCTCATGATCCAAAGCAACACATCATCTGTAAAACACAGCAGAGCAGTGTAATGGCTTGGACATGGCTGCCAGTGGCACTGGGTCACTAGTGTTTACTGATGATGTGACACAGGACAGAAGCAGCCGGATCAATTCTGAGGTATTCAGAGTCATACTGTGTGTCAGATCAAGCCCACTGATACGTCATTGTTTCATACTACAGATGGACAATGACCCAAAACATAAAGCCAAAGCAACTCAGGAGTTTATTAAAGCAAAGAAGTGGAATATTCTTGAATGGCCAAGTCAGTCACCTGATCTCAACCTAATTGAGCATTTCACTTGTTAAAGACTAAACTTCAGACAGAAAGGCTCACAAACAAACAGCAAATTAAAACCTCCACAGTGTAGGCCTGGCAGAGCATTAAAAGGAGGAAACACAGCGTCTGGTGATGTCCATGAGTTCAAGACTTCAGGCAGTCACTGACAACAAAGGCTTTTCAACCAAGTACTAGAAATGAACATTTTATTTACAATTATTTAATCTGTCCAATTACTTTTGAGACTCTGAAATGAAGGGATTGTGTTTAAAAGATGCTTTATTTTCTCATGTTTTTATGCAATCATTTTGTTCAACCCACTGAATTAAAGCTGAAAGTCTGAACTTCAACTGCATCTGAATTGTTTTGTTTAAAATTAATTGTGGTAATGTCTAGAACCAAAATTAGAAAAATGTCTCTGTCCAAATATGGACCTAACTGTATGTAAAAACAGCAATGGTCTTGTTTATGGCAACAAAATAATGCCAGCTAAATTCTGTAAGTATGACAAAATCATAACAAAAACAAGCTGCTGCCCAAAAGTAGCCTTTATGCAATCACTTCCACAAGTGACCGCCTGGACAAAAACTAGTTTAAACGGGAAAAGATGTTTTCTTCCTGAAATAGAGCAAAACGTTCTTGTCATTTTCTAAGCATCACAACAACAAAGCTGAACCTATTTCAGTTACAATATTTGTTCGGGTTTGTGCACTACTACCAACAAAATAAAGAAATGTCTTCTGTTTTGTTGATACACCAAGTCTAAAGCTAATATTACGATTATAAAAACGACTCACATCGTTAGCCCAGGATCCTGCAATAAGGAAGTTTCCAGGCATGGTTGGAGGACTGAAGGCCAGACAGCTAATACTGTCATCTGGTGGTGATGTCACTTCCACATCCTGTAAGGTCGCAACACGTGAAAAAGGTGAGGGTAAAGAAAGCAGTAATTCAATATATTTCACCAGTCTGTGTTGTCTGCTGGTTTACCTTCATGGGGTTATGGCTGTCTGTCGTCGTGCTTCCAAAAACTCCAGTCCCTCCGGTTCCAAAACTTGAGTTTGCTCCAAACAAACTCATTCTGCATTAAGGTCACTCCTAATGTGCGCCTAGAGGAGGAAATCAAAAGGACTAAAATGAGATTATTAATTATTTATTAGTTGGGAAGGCTCTTCAAAGCAGATGTGCTTAATTCAGTTCTCCCAAGTCAAAACAAACATTTCCAGAATGTTTAAAATCCTGTATTAAAATCAATATATCAGATCTCAAACCTTTTTCTCCCTAAAAGATTATATTTACGTAACTTTCTGCATCTGTAAAATCATTCCTTTTGGGAGCAATTCTATTATTTTAACTCATGGTTTGGACAAGGTTGGGATCCAGGGTATCGTCCTTCAATTGTCCACTAAAGTTATAAGATTGTTCTTTGGAAGACGTCTCCTCTGCAGCCTCTGGAGTTCCTCTTGAATATTTATCTTTGAGACAATTTTAGTCGCACTGAACATGAGTCCCTAACTTTTTGTAAATACAACATTTAATTTAGTCATTCTACAAATACTACACAATTCTATACCGCCATGAGAAGAGGTGAAATGATGGATGACCACTGTCTAAATGTAAACAGTTAAATAACTTTAATCCCATGGTTAATCTTGGTCTTTCAAAGACCTTTATAAAATTAACATGTCATTTGTAACCATTTTTTTGCCAATGCCAAAAAATCAAAGTGATCATTTTGCCAGTATTTTTTAAATCAACTCTGACATGGAGTGATTTATTTGCAATGGCAGGTCTCTCTTGTTCAGTCTGCAGCCAAACTCCTGACATGTACCTGCACAACCTGTTAGTGTATTTTCACTGGCTAAATGGGAGTTAATGTGGTCTGATGTTTGATTAAGCATGATAGCACTGCAAACTAAACCCAACAATAACGTGACATAATTTGGGAACATAAAATACAAAAAATAGCCCAAAACGCTGTTTGTTTCATAGTTAGCTGCTAAATAAATTAGTATCGAAAGTCACGAGCATGTTCAGCTTAGCTAACGGCTAATGTTAATGCTAACTGCTGCGGTCTGACACTTTGCACTAATGTTAAACACACTGTTATAGTATATATTTACCATTATGCGATAGTGAACAAAATTGGAACGTCCAARTAAAAACCTGTTTTTTTATGAGCGTCTTAAAACAAACAAGCGTAAAAGTGATTTGAGATACCTCGTTAGCTCAACTGAGTCGGATTTTGATTTTTTTTTTCCCATCTCCTTGCATTTTAACATAAAAATCTCGAGCTGCCGACCTCCAAACTGCATAAACACACGTACCTTATGTATTTTTCACTCGGGCTGAAGGTTTCTGACTTTGAAATTAAACAATAATTTTGAGGAGGAAAGGAGCCACTTCTTCTTCGAAATGTGTTCGGTGTAGCTTTCTTCTTCTGGTGATCTTGGATTTGTTGTCGGACTCGAACTCTCTTGATGTTGCGGTGCTGCCACCTGCTGGAGCAGAACAGAAGGACATGCAGATCAAATTTTCCCCATTTTCATTTGTACCAGTATAAAAACTTTAGAAAATGAGGTACCACAACCAATTTCCCCTAATGTTAAAGGAGCTTTATTTATTCATTTATTTCTCTCTTCCATCTTGATAAAACAGCATAAATCCCAAAACACAAATAAAGTACCACGAAGTGATACTTGAGTAAAAGTACAAGTATCTTACAAAAAATTACTTTGGTAAGATTTAAACTCTCCTTTAGGAATATTACTGGAGTACAAGTCTTAAAGTATCTGATATTTTTGTATTTAAGTATTACAAGTAAAAGTATTTACTTAACATTTATTTGAGATGATGTATATATGTGTGTGTGTGTGTGTGTGTGTGTGT